ATTTTTTAATTCAATCAAATACTAAGAAATGAAATTTCATTTGCAAAGTAGTCTAGGTAAACCTTTGTATGAAACATACATATATTATAAATAATAAACAGGCCATTGATACAAATGTTTTCATTGGATGATAAAATAGCGCTTTGCACCTCCCAATTTTAAGGTAATAATCATTTCATGGTTGAGCTAGCTAGGGAGCTAACCAAAGATTCTACCTTTAGCTACACACTCGTTGGAATCGGCTGTAATGGGTTTTCTGATTTTACTCATTATTTCATTAGAGATATAAACCTGTATTGGTTGATCATTTTTACAATTTACCACTATGTTCTATTTTTAGCAACAGCTGCCATGTTTGGTCATGGATCAAATCCTTGGACATAATATCTAAACTAAATTCCTACAGGAAAATGGATTGATTGTCTTACAAGAATGAGCAACATACAATAATTTATGTTTTTTAATGTCTTCATTCCTTTTTTCAAAAAATAAAATATGCTTAATAAATTTGATAATGGAAACGGGGAATGTGTCAAAAAGACAACTATCCGACCAAAGAGCAGAAAACAACCAAAGGCCACCAGAGAGTTTTCAACACAGAGAGAAAATCCAGCACCTGGAGCAGTTCTTAACAAGAGGATGAATAGGAGAAGAATATGAGAAAATACTGTGAGCAATCTTGATTCTATAGTCAAAAATATATATCACCTATTTTCAAAGCAAGCCAATTAACCATAGTGAATCCAAATGAACCTCCAATATTAGTGGTTCCCAATTCTCTCCTCCAATCTACTGATGGTGCTTCAAGTTTGAACTCCAATCCTTCAAAGAAACCTCTTTTTTCTATACTGTGTGGTTCCAGATTTTGTTCTGACAGGATTGATCTTCTGTAAAATTAATTATTATCAATATAAAAATAAACTGACAACGCCATGGCTTAAAATGAAACAGACCAACAGACAAATAATAGTACACAAGAAACAACATAGAAAACTAAAGACTGAGCAACACGAACCCCACCAAAAACTGGGGGTGATCTCGAAATTGGCTTTGATCAAGCTTAAAGTAACTGTGAGCACTCTTATTTTGGTTCTATGACTCTTTTGCTTTTATGTTTTTGTGCCTCATACCAATCTTTTGAATTAAGCTAATAGCAACTGATTATTAGTTTGTTCTTATGTTGTGCTGTTTCACCACTGACCCAGGTTAGGAGGGTTGAGCACTCACAAATATATTTGGTCCCACCACATTCTTTAGGTGCCTGTCCCAAGTCAGGAGCCTGTAGAACAGTGGCTGTCTCGGTTCATATCTGTCATAGTTGTTTTTCATAAATTGTTTTATTATCAATTAGTCTATTAGCTTTCTTGATTGAATTGTTTCATATTTTTCAGGTAGGGCCTTTAAAGATGACTATACTATATGTTTTTTTTTTGATATTGTTGCAAAGGCTGTTATAGTGGCCTATAGTTGTCTTATTGGCAATCATGCCAAATCTTTTCATTTTTGTATCATATTAAGATCTTGTTCCGTTTAATAAATTAGTTTACAATCATAGCCTAACTCTTAATTTGTTTGTCATATTCAAGTCTTTTAATATTTAGCAGTCTTTAGAACTGTCGGCCACTGACCAATGTCACATGGGCTCATGCAGGGTTTAAGCTAGGATTTTGAGGGCTTTAACAGTCACTTTTGTGCAATATTAAAATCAACCTTATTTTGTGTAATATCAAGGGACCAAGGATGTATATTTCTAGCTACATCTTTGTCAGACTTTAAAGGACTTAGGCATGCTTGGCAGTTACCAGTATTGTATGATTTGACTGGTTTGGCCCTTATCAATTTATAAAAAGATTCTTTCAGGGATACGGAAATTTAGTTCACAATTTCACAATTTTGATCAAATGACGAAACAATACTCCTGGTTCTTGACATGCTTGAAATGCAGACTGACTGATTTTCCTATGGAAAATAATTGTGATGGTCAATTATGAGGTTTATTAATAATTAACGGATTAGTGACCCATCAGATGGAGTTAAGTGGATTAGTTGTAATCACAACTGGTAACACCTATTGTAAATGTTAATTACCTGGGGTCATAAACTTGTCAGAAACATGAAGACAGGTAGATTTATAGTATTTTTACACTTTCAAAATTTAAGTGACGAAATTGATTTGAAAAACTTTTGTCATTTTGAAAACCGTTTCGTAGATTATGAAAATGACGAGGGCTAGCAAAATCACTGGATCATGATACTTCTATAGTGAATTTAATCTTCTTTTTGTTTATTTAGCCGATTATTTAATTAATGTATTCTTTTATGTGAGGTATGTATTTTATGTTATTGACCCTTTTGTGTATAATTTCATAAAAAAAGATATTTAAATAAATTTAACCAAGTTTTTTGGACAGATTAAAATATTTTCACTGTTACAAATTCAAGTAAATTACAAGTAAATTTGTATGAATGTAACACCAGATGTTCACACAAATGTAATACCTATCAAAATTCAAATTACCACTAATAGATTAATAGTCACCCATGCTGACATCTAATTATAATTAACAATGTTTTATTAAAAAACAACCTTTTAAAAAGTTATTCAGGAACTTCTACTTAAAATGCAATGTTTAAGTACTAGTTTAAACTTTTTATCAGTCATTTTAAGACACTTTTACAAGTCTGAATTTGAAAATTTGTATAACTGAGTCCTCAGAACTAGTAGGGTAAAAGGTATTTAGAAAATAAAACAGAGACAACATAAGCTCTAATGAGCTTTTAACCTTTTAAAATAGCAACAAACCAAGCCAATTATTGTATATTTGTAATATTTATTAATTTTCCCTTGATTTTCATCCTTTTTTCATATTTTGTTGAATTGGAAAAGTATGAGAGCACCAAAGAAACAACTGTTTATTAAATGAGATTACGTAAATAGCTTTGATAAATCTTCCCTAAAATTATTTTATTGTTTCTTGGCTGTTCAAGATGTTTCCACAAAGCATGTGATTGGGAAATTCACCAGGTTTTTTCCATTTCATCATAAAAGTTCATGTTATGATGTAATTTTCAGATATTGTTTGTATATTGAAATACCACTTTCCTTTCCCTACACTTACTCTTGATTTACATCACATTACAATGTTTGCAATAATTATCAACAGACAATTATGTGATGCAACAATAGTAAAACTGGTTGCCTTTTTTGGTTTTATTGCATTGGTCTTTTTTTCTTTTTTTTTTTCATATCATGCTACTCCCTGAGGTAGAAAATATGGATAGACATTATTGGCGCACATGACGTAGTCAATGTAAACGTCAATGACATCAGAGGCAAAATATAGTGATATACAGATTATCTATGTCCTTTTATACTCATGGATGCTTCTCTGCCACACATGCATCTCATCTCAGGAATGTGGCCCTGCAATAAGATTAAAGCTCAGAAACATTCCCTTTTTGGGGTATAACTTGACATTCACAGCCTATATTCTGTCTGTAGATAACATAAAACAACTATCTATAAGCCAATAGAATATCCAGATTATTTTCAGAAGCAGGATTAGTGATTACAATACCTATATCTAGGATGAGCTTGATAAATCAGGGTAGCTTCATGTCGGACTTCTTCACTGTCATCTCTATAAGATATCTTCAATATTTCTTGGGCTGCCTAAAATTATTTAATTTTTTTTTTAAAGCAGAACATATTTTACATTTTTTGACCAGACAACTAAAACATGCGTGACTGTATGTATTTCAAAATGTCAATGTTTTTATTTAATGACTGTAATATTTTTTCTGTCTATAAAGAAATAACATAAAAAATGTGGTGCACACTGAATAACCCGGGTTATTTTAAAGTGTGCACCACATTTTTTATGTTATTTTGAATAGACAGAAAAAATATTACAGTCGTTCCTTGTAATTTAATTCTAAATTCCATTTTAAACTGGCGTAAATCATGAAAAAACGTTGATGACGTCACGGTCACATGACAAAATTATGTCTATGAGGTGATAAACAAAACACTGTCAGCCAATCAGAAGACACGTTTCATCCCAAATTAAATTATTTGAACATAGTCTTTAACTTTCCTCCCAGAATAGCAAATTGTTTATCTTTCCTTGTCGTTGATATATACTATAATCTTTTCAACTGAAGTCAGGGGGTTGCTTTCTTTGAAAAATAAGAAAATTAAAAAGTAACCATATTGTAAATTGGAACAGTATATTTGAGGGACTGTTCTAATATTACAGCATTTCAATTTTTTCAGCTGATATATATTGGGATAGATTACCATAGCTAAACCTTTAGGAATATTAGTCTTTCAGTGCTCTCAACTTTGTACTTTATTTAGCCTTTGATTTTTTTTCAAAGCTGATGTAAAGAAACCAAAAAAAGACATTTAACCAGAACTTCAGAATTATATTAAACACCGATTCAAATCATCATGTAGTTTTAATAAAAAAGACTAATTTTTCAACAGAAAAAATTACATATGACAGACCACTAGCACTCTCTCTCTCACTTTCTTTGGCCTTTGACACATGTGTAGGCAACACAAAGTCATGGGTCTTTACTGACTGGATATCACATTTTAGGTTAGTTAAAATGCAGTTTGAACCCAATTCTGAGTAAAAAAAAAGGAAAATTTGTATGGTTATGCAAGAAGGGTTACAGCTGTTTGGTAAAGGGACCATCTCAAAGACAAAGATAATTAACATTATAATTCAATGAAATTTCCGAAGCTTCCAAGAGAAACTTAATGCTCCTGGTTGATAGCATTTACTCAGGAATATATAGGGGTATAAAGACACATATTAAATATCTTACCATCTCACTTTCATATTTCCTAAGGGCATGTACACCTGCTCTTTTGATCCACGGTGAGTTTGTAGCATTGATATGAGAAATAATATACTCATAGGAATGGTCAATAGCAGCATTTCCAAGGGCTTCTAACAGAATAACATGCCTCTTATCATATTCTTCTTGTTCTACCTCAGACTGAATGGATCTTTTTTGCCTATACAACCATGGATCTGAAATAAAAATTTGACAATCTTCATGCCTTATTTATTAGTTTTCTAAAACACCTTAAAATTCAATAGATATAAGAAGATGTGGTATGAGTGCCAATGAGACAATTCTCCATCCAAGTCACAAATTGCTTTTCAATATAGATTAAAGAGTGACTTAAAAATGCCATTTAAATGTTAGCTATAGTGGCTATGTTTCTTGATGTTCAAGGAAATAAAATACAAAATTTATACTAGATACTCTGAGACTCATTCAACCCAAGTTTGGCTGAAATTGATTCAGCAGTTTCATAGGAGAAGAATTTTTAAAGTCAGCAAACTAGATGAAAAAATTGTGAAAAATTGTCTTTAAAGGGTAATAACTCCTTAAGAGGTCAATTGACAATTTTGGTCATATAAACTTATTTGTAGATCTTACTTTGCTGAACATTTTTGCTGTTTACAGTTATCTTTTTCTATAATAATATTCAAGATAATAACAGAAACTGCAAGATTTCCTTAAAATCATCAATTCAGGGGCAATAACCTAAAAACCAGATACCCGATTTGGCTGATAATTTCAGGGCAGGTAGACCTTGACCTAATGAATGCTTTAACTTCTTGTCAAATTAATGAATCTACAACACTCTACAAAATGTAAACCAAACAAATTAACCATCAGCAAAACTTCAAACACTTGAATAGGATGTATGAAACAGATTTAGTTAAAATTCTTACCATGGAATCCTACTAATTCATTAATTTTGGTAGTTATGCTTTTTGCCTTCTCCCTTTCACCACTATCATATAATTTCTTTGCAGCAGCTCCTAAGCCCAACATAACCCCATCATAAAAACTTCCCACATACAGTGATGCTGGATACTTTTCAGGGTGAAAACAAATATCTTCCATGCTTTTTAAAATTATCTGAAAGAGTCAGTACTGGGTTAAGTTTATATATTCAAATTCAGTTTTAAATACAATATAATTAAAATCTTCTTGAATTGAAAAATGTTGAAACTATAATATTTAACATGCTTGTTACCTTTACATTAAATGGTTGCCAATTGTGCTAAACGATAAAGTGGGTAAGGGGAAACTAGATTCTTATTGCATACTGATATTGGTTAGAACAGACAAACCAGAATTGTCATAAACCATCCAAGATATTACAAAATACACCCCAAGATGTTTTCTGTTGACATGTTTCAGTTATCATCTGATCATGGGCTACAATCTATTTATTAGCAATAACCGATGCTGAAGTGTATGAGATTGAAAAAGAATTTGATCTAGAAATATTCAGCATCTGCAAAACAAGGAATAAGGTAAGATTTGTTGCATTACCGATGACTACATATAATCATATTTATCTCATATGATAAAAAAAAATAAAAATCTGCTGAAAAAATTCCCATAAATAAGGAATGGACATGTTTTAAATATTTATTTACTGGGAGTAATACATTTAGATAATCAGGTTGTCTGCATAATTGATATTGTAAAATATCAGCTGCAAGTCACAATATGAAGCTTTTTCTTGAGTGAGCACAGTGAACGAGTTAAAAAAAAACTTGAATAACAATTTACCCATAATGGGACGGACAGATGAACAGAATGACTGACAGACAGATAGGGGTAAAAGCCCCCCACTTAAAAAACATCTTTTATGGTTTCGAGCCTAAAATAAAACTGTGATGAACGTTTCACACAAAGCTGATAGAATGTTAGATTTTTATCTAATCATGAGAATGAATATGCTTTTTAATAATTTACTTCGCAATACAACTTACTGGGTGTGGTGGGTCATGAGCACTCACAACATGTATCATGTACTGTACAATTAAATCAGGATCTAGTTTGGTTCTAAGGAAAATCATTTTACCAATGATCTCTTGACTCTTCTGACTTGTCAATGATCCATATGCATCTAACATGATAACAGTAGACTGTCTTTTTTCTTGGAGTCTAAAATAAATATAATTGTAGTTAAATCTCATTCTTAAATCCTTATATGTATCTTATACAAAGTCTGACAGTTAATTCTGAAATCTTACTAAAATTATTAAAAAGTTTTCCATTACACTAGCTGTGCTGGTCGCTGGTGCTTTCTATAATACTTTATTTAAATATGATAGTTTGACTTCCTGGTCATTTGTCTTTCAATGACAGATAGTGACAAAGACATAACTGTTGTGATAATAAAATTCACCTCTCTCTACATAAGATGGCTGGTGAAAAACAAATTTAATGTAGAGACCTAATGGACAGCTATCTTAAATATCAACCAAAATAAAAAGAAAATAATGGGATATAAAATCAGCTACCAAATATGAACAGTAAATTTCTAATAACTTTATTATAAAGATATATAGAATTTAAACTAACTATAATAAATTGTTCATATAATATGAGTTCATTTCTTTCTCTTCTCAAAACCCATCACATGGTATAGCTGACTTATATAAACCCTGAAACCTAATTTCAGAAATCCTTGTAGAGTAGTTCCTGAGAAAAATGTGACGAAAGTTTTCAACTTGGCTATCATGTGTAAAATGATACAAGTGTTCGGTAAACAGGAAGTTGTTGAGTGGTGTATCTGAAAACGCATCACACGGTATAACTTACTTATATAAATAAAAACTATAAATAATATTTCCCTACATACATTTTTTTATCTTAAAATCATTAGCGAAACAGATTCCACCAATGTATCTTTTTGGGAATACTATAATGTCTTCGGTGTCAACAGTTAAATTTTAAATAATTTAAAGTGATCAACCTGCCTGGGATTTTAAATTTCATAGTATAACCATCTTGAGATCTGAAATATCACACCCCTATCACTACGTATACAGTGGTAAAATTTATGTTGCATAATAAATTTTCAGCTAAATTTTACTATACATAGCTGCATAAATAAGTATATTAACAGTCTTTGAAAAAAGCATGCAGTTGATGTAGAAATTATTTTAAATGTAAAATTTTACCATATACATTTGATCATACCTTAAGTTCAACTTCATAAAGTAATGTTCTGCAACAAATGTAAGTGTCTTATCTGGCAGAATTTGGAGAACGTTCACTAGCGCCATAAAGCATTCATTCAATCTTGGAGACCCTGAAATTCAAACTCAAAATAAAACTTTATGTTTAATTCAAAATATATTTATGTCAAAGCCTGTGGCTTGATCTATTAAAAGCCTTTCGAGACCTCAATTATGCCGACATTTGAGCTATAATTATAAGTCCTACTATAAATTACTTTCATGAACTCCAAGGCATATATCAAATTTTGACATTTGAAAAAACTTTTAAAATTAAGCATGAGTAAGACCTTCATGAAATCTGTAATTCAGTGGTTGTGGTTTGTTACTGTGAAACATATATTTTTCGTTTATTTTTTGTGCATAAATTAGGCGGTAAGTTTTCTCGTTGGAATTGTTTTACAGTTGTCATGTCGGGACATACAGTGACTTCAGTTATTGTCTGTGTCATTTGAACTCTTGTGGAGAGTTGTCTAATTTTCAATCATACCACATCTTCTTTTTATACGATAAATTCAGCTGAAAAACATTTAGCAATTCATTGAATGTAAGTGGATTGCAAATCTCCTTATATATAGGTATTCCTCTACTTGATTTCTTCTCAGATTTCTATTACAAATTATCAATGCAAAAACGGTTAAACTAATATTAAATTCACAGATTAAATATATTGAAAGAGGTAGAATAATATAAGTTCAAAACTAATATCACACCACTACACAACACAGAGAAGAAGTAAAAAGATTGTTGAAATCAATTTGGTAGTATTTTTGATATAAGATTCAGTTAAGATTATAATATTGATCTGATCTCAATACATACTTTGATGCTATAAGAACATGATGACATACCTTTTTTTGGTTCATTTTTAATACATGTGATGTTGCCTTCAATTTCCTTCATCTTTTTATCTACATCTACTTTGGGTTTTTTTCTTTCGTACTTCAATTAAAATATGTTTACAATAAAAAGAAAAAAGAAGTTTTTAACAATAGTCATATATAATTACCGACTGTGCGAGACTCTCTTTGGTGGTCAATTCAAATTCGTTAAAGACTCCCATAGTAGAAGTCATATATACTGACTATAAAGGTGACAAAGTACGTCTTAAGGTAGCACAATACAAAAGCAACTAAATTTTATCAAAATTTCATTTTCAGCTGTTTTTGTAACTTCTTAATATTCAAAAACCATAGAAGAAAAATTTGTTTACATATCTTGCACTCTTAATGAGTTTTGATGATAATTAGTTTTATAAACAAATGCATGTGTCTGAGTGATACAAGATAAGAACATGTGGACAGTACTTTGTGGTTAATCAATAGAATCATTTGATAGCTTTATGACCACTGACCAGCAATAAAAATATACATGAATTATTAAGGAGATTTTGTTCTACATTTATTTACTGTTTAAAGGTATCCCTTTTTCAAGCCCTGTCTCAGACATTATGTAGATTTTTGTTTGTGATAAATCAAACATAATCTTACTTTTGCAATGTTGCAGCTCTGTAGTCTAAAAAAATAAAAAATAAAAACTACTGTCTATCTTATGGATAAAACATAAATAACATTAGATGTAGACATATACCTTGCTCACATGTATACTGCTATTGAGTATACTTTCTGATGGTTTCTCTAATATGTTCTTTACTGGCTGTTTTGTCAAGAAAATCAATTCACCTTTACTTAAAATAGTCATTTCTGGATACTCTAAAATGATACAGCAGTATAATAAATCAATATAAAGTACAAAATGACAGCAGACTAGTTCTATACTTTGATTGACTGCACAATCATGCATAAAAGAAGATGTTGAGTATGTTACATGGCACAGCAAGCCACACACACACACAAACTAAAAGACCTGTATTATAATTGATCTACATTGTCATCAACAATATACAAGTGTGTATTCAAAAAATTATGAATAAGCTAAAGAAACACAGGATGGCAACTTCATCAGTACCAAATAAAGAGACTTAACAGAGGAAGAAGCTATAAATTCTTCAATTTTTTTCAAGCCAGATTGAGAAGTCCCATGATTTATATTCATTGGTTGGACTTGGTCTGGATCGAACCCATGCCAAGGACAGTTATGAAATTGGATCTTTTGCTGTATTGTACATTTGTACTCTATCCTCATGGATTTTATTTGATTTTGATTTTTGGTGTTTTAACACAACTTTTAAGCACAGCATTTAGGCTATTTCGTGGCAGCCAGTTTTTATTGGTGAAGGAAGCCGGAGTGCCTGGAGAAAACCACCGACCTTCGATAGGAAAACTGACAATCCTAGTCAATTAAGATTGGAGTCGGGTGCACCCACATGAGCGCGGTTCGAACTCACAACCTCAGTGTTGACTGGCTAATGAATACAGTAGTAACTACTTAGACTACTCAGCCACCGAGGCCCCTTCTGTCCTCATGGAATAAATTCACAATTATAAAATATTTCATGACATCTTTTTCTGAATGTTTTATTCTGCTCAGAGTAATTCAAAAAGTGTGAAGAAGACACCCACCAGACAGTATGTAGACTTACCATACACACCAGACCATCAAATATTATTAAAATCAATAATTCAAAAAGTGTCAAGATAAAAGAAAAATTTATATAATATTTACCCATATTTGAAAACTTGTTGACAGCCTTTACTTTTCTCATATTCTTGTGGGGATCAAATCTGAATTATAGAAATCATTGATATTCAAAAATCTAAAATCTGTAATATTTCCTAAAAGTTCCCAAATTTCTTTCAAGAATAACATTTATTCTTTTATTTTTTGTCCAGCCTGTGAAATTCCTGTTGCACATGCTTGGCATAGGAATTTTATTGTTGTTGCCAATGCCTCGAATAGTCTACAGCTTCAACATTCAGGTTCTAGTTAAAGTTTTTTAGACATCAATAACCATGACAACCCACTGCATTTGTTTGCACCTTTCCTAAGTCAGGAACCTGTTGTTTAGTGGTTGTCGTTTGTTGATGTGGTTCATAAGTGTTTTTATTTTCTCAGTTTTAAAATAGATTAGACATTTGGTTTTCCTGTTTAAATGGTTTTACACTAGTCATTTTTGGGACCCTTTATAGCTTGCTGTTCGGTGTGAGCCAAGGCTCTTTGGTGAAGGCTGTACTCTGACCTTTAATGGTTTGCTTTTTACAAATTGTGGCTTGGATGGAGTTGTCTCATTGGCACTCATACCACATCTTCTTATATATTTACAAACCTTCATGGAATTTTACAGAATATTTTTTATTACAGAAGGACTTTGTCAAACCACAAATTAATCATAATGGAGTTTTGTGTGATTTGGACAGATGCTTAAACTACATCATACTGACCAAAATAATGAAAATATTGTTTTATCCTTTTTCTGTAATGTAGTTTTTTTTTGCAGTTAACATGAAAATACAATCAATCTAGTGTTAAAAGTTTGATACATGTATACACCAATAACTTTGTCATGTTTGTAAATCCTTCATAAAATTTTATGAAACTTGGCATAAACTTTTTTATGTTTATAACAGCAGATATAATGTCTTTTATTTTTTTATTTTTTCATATTTTTCTTCTATTTTTCAGTATTTAACTGTCTGATAGATGGATCCCTCATTCTATTGCAATTAACATTTACAGACAGTTTTAGGATAAATTGTGTTATATGTAATAAATTTGTAAACCCTTCATGCATGGTTGATGTGTAAAAAATCAGATTGGTGAGAATGAGTACCAAGGGCAACCTTGAATCTGTTCAATAAAATATTTTTGAAATCTCAAGAAGAGATTTTATATGAATTTATAGGGTTAATTATACTTATCCATGATAAGTATATTTAACCAAATTCATATAAAATTGGATTGGTGAGAATGAGTTTCTAGGGCATCCTTGAATCTGTTTAATAAAATATCTTAGAAACCTACCCTTGTGCACCAGTCATGGCTGTAAAACTATCTTCTATCAAAACCTTATGTATAATACCAAGTTTCTTTTGATAAAATAAAGTCTGAAAATAGATACCGTAAATTAAGAAATTATTAAGTGCATTTATTATTTGGATTTGATCATGACAGACCAATATGAGAGAATAATTATTGCCATTGCAGGAAAAGATGCATACAAATATATATTTCAAGATTTCAGAATGCTATTTCCTTGGACTATTATACTAACAGGACTGGAAACCGTTACACCAATCAGTGTAATAATACTCCACATCACGGTTGTTAGAACGAGACTTTACCTGTGCTATTTATCGATACGCCATATTGTTTTGACAGTGACAGTGTGCCTTGATCTTATAATTTCAATAATTTTTTATTTTTATTTTATAGTTATTCGAAATGATAACCCTTAATATAAACATGGTTACTATAATGATAAAAAATATCTCGATCTTTGACATTTGTTATTAATCACCAAATTCCGTCTTAAGTGTAAATAAACTGTTATCACAGAGATAAGTCTCGCATTTATGAATTTCGATAAGGCAAATGTTAAAATTAAAATAGCAACATGTAAGGGATCATAGATTTATTCTTACAAGGAAGCTCCAAGCATGCTCGGAGGATGCTCTTAAGTAGGCTCTTCTCAGCAGTTTATGTGACAATAATTATCATGATCCATTAAAATGTCAATCAAATCTATAGCACTTCTATAATAAGGAAAGTAGAGCATTATAGAGGAAGCTCAATTAACACCTGTGTAAACATCTGGTCTATTCAAATACATTTTGCATGAAATTTTACAAAACTATAAAATAGATAAGAAATTCTTTAATAGTACTGTACAATGCTTGGAAAGAATTATCAAGTCCTCACAGAAAGAAAATGTTTTTAAAACATTTTCTTAATAATTATCATTCTTTTTCAATACAAAAAAAATAATTAAATTTGATATTTAAAATATAAATATATTTTAAATTTATACTACAAAAGTCATCAAAGACACAAACTATGGTTATTGATTTATAACCAATTACTACCAAAACATAGTACATACAGTTTCATGCGAAAAAGGGTTGATTTTTTTTTTATATTGCATTTGATTTGACAGTTGTTGGAAATTAACCCTCCATTTCATTGCAGAAAAGTGTTTTTGAGACATAAACATGTATCTTGGGTGTTTCAAAGCGATAAAAAAAAATATTTGGTGTTCTATAAATATTTTGGAAATTTGAGGGGACATTGCTACTAAAGCTTGTAAACAGGGAAAAAAGGGGGAGAGAATTTGATTGGTTAACTTCTGGTGATGTTTACTTTCTTATATGCACTGAAAAGTTATGTTGTATTGTTACTATAGTACAGGACAGGATAAAACTTTACTCATGTCATGTAATTCTTTATTTAAAACATAGATAAATTCTGCACATTTTTTTTTTTAAATACCAATTAAACAAAGATTGATAAGGGAAAAACAATTTTATGTTAAATTTTCACTAAAGTACAGGACAGGATAAAACTTTACTCTTGCCAAGTATTTCTTTATTTAAAACAAAGCCAAATCCGCACAATTTATAAAAATGCCAATTAAAGAGAGACGTACTATAGGGAAAACAATGGTGGTATTACCCCCTCAACTTTTCCTAAAGTAGCCATATTTTCTATAAAAGAACAAATTTTGCTATATAAAAAAACATATTACCATTGTTTAGTTAGAGCTATTACTTAAACAAGTAATTTTCAAAATTACCTATACAATTTATGTAGAAAACGAGGCTGTTTCAAATATTACTTCTATATCATGAATAAGTAACTTCTGTTAATATTATTTTTATAGGTGTTCATTCATACAGGTTTTGCTAGCTTTAACAAATTTTTACAGACATCTGGTTTGTTTTCCTCCTAAAATATAAAAGTATTTAAATCCTCCTGAAACACTAATTGCCTTTCTGATGCCACACTTCTTGGTCAAAGATTGGTCTCTTGGGGCTATCAAAATATCATTTTTCCTTAAAAATCTTAGAGATAGACAGATATAAATAGATGGAACCTTGTGATATAATTATTACTTGAAGTTATTTATAATTTGTAATCTTAATCAAAAACAATTACATATATTAAATAATTGTAAGTACTAAGTTTTTCAAAGATGTATAAAATAATTTATAAAAGTATTATTTTTGTCTGACATTATTTTTAAAGTAACCTCTATACTCATCTCAAATACTCAAATTGGACAAATACTTAATTGTATTTAATGAAATGATATAAAAATTCTTAAAAACTACATTTAGTCCATGCTTCTTTTGACATTTAAAATTACTATTGAGTTATCAAATAATTTTTAAAAACAAAAAATACCTATATATAAGTAACTAAAAAAATAACTTGTTAAGTATCACCCCCTGACTGTTGTTTGTGTCTTAATAACTTTTATGTAGCATATTATATAATATAAACTATATTTAAATCATATCATCTAATTATAAAATTTGAGAGTTTTTTTAATATAAATAAATGTGGATAGTGTCCACATGTGGACACAGATGATGCCCCCGCTTGCATATCATATAGTTATAAAGGGACATAACTGAAGAACGGTAAAAATGACACTACCCAAATTTGAACTTGATCTGAGTTTTGTGGTAATAAGCATTGTGTGTAAGTCTCATAACATTTGGTTGAGGCTAACTTAAGTAGAGAACAGAAACTAAAAATTCAGCAATTTTTCTATTTGTAATGACGCATAACTCTAGAACGGTTGTGTATAAGTTTTACAACATTTGGTTGAGACACACTAAAAAATTCAGCAATTCTTATGTTTATAATGGGACATAACTCTAGAATGGTAAAAGTGTTGCCACCTAATTTCGTACTTAATCTGTATTATGTAGTAATTAGCATTGTGTATAAGTTTCATAACATTTGGTTGAGGCAAACTCAAGTTAGAGAACTGAAACAAAAAAAATGTACTTGATCTTTACTGAGTTTTGTTGGAATGAATATTGTGTATAGGTTTCACAATGTTTGGCTGGGGAAAACTTCAGTTACAGAATGGAAACTAAAAAATTTTGCAATCTTTCTATTTATAAAGGGGCATAACTCAATAATGGTTAAAGTGACACTACCCAAATTCAACTTGATCTGTGTTTTATCAGTGGTAGTCAAAATTAAACATTGCATTGTATAAAGCATTGATTGTAGTTGATTCAACTATAATCATGGTCAAAGGAAGATAACTCCAATTTTAAAAATATATTATATAAACTTGATATTTAGAAGAAAATAAAAATTTTGCAATTTTTCCTTTTATAAAGGGGCATAACTCTAGATCGATTAAAGTGACACCACCAAAATTCAAACTTGATCTGTGTTTTGTGGTAATAAGCATTGTGTATAAGTTTCATAACATTTGGTTGAGGCAAACTTAAGTTAGAGAACGGAAACTAAAAATTTTGCAATATTTCCTTTTATAAAGGGGCATAACTCTAGATCGGTTAAAGTGACGCCACCAAAATTCAAACTTGATCTGTGTTTTGTGGTAATAAGCATTGTGTATAAGTTTCATAACATTTGGTTGAGGCAAACTGAAGTTAGAGAACGGAAACCAATTTCGGGACGTACGGACGGATGTACGTACGTACGTACGTACGTACAGACGGACAAGGGTAAAACTTAATGCCCCCTCCGGTACGGCGGGGGCATAAAAAAGGAATTATTATTAAATATAATAAGTAATTATTTAAATCACTTTTACTTTTTGTGGAGACTTGAGATTTCTTTCCAAGCATTACACAGTACTGTTGGAGAATTTCTAATCTATTTAATAGTTTTGTAAAATTTCATGCAAAATGTATTTAAATAGACCAGATGTTTACACAGGTGTTAATTGAGCTTCCTCTATAATGCTTTACTTTCCTTATTATAGAAGTGGTGTAGATTTGATTGACATCTTAATGGATCATGATAATTATTGTCACATTAACTGCCGAGAAGAGCTTACTTAAAAAGCTCAGAGCATCCTCCGAGCATGCTCGGAGCTTCCTCATAAGAATAAATCTATGATCCCTAAGTTTTGCAAATATTCAAAGTCAATGAATCATGACTGAAGGTACATGGCTAAACAATTTCCATGGAAATGAGATGTGCCAATGCTAATACAACTGCATACCAAATACCATTAACTTACCACTAGTGGTTCCCCATAAACTGGCCTAATCACAAACAAATACATGAAAACTAAGCAAAATTTTCAAAGTCTATAGACATGATAGACTGTAACTGAGGGGTCGGGGCCAAATAATCTCCATGGTAATGAGATGTGCTAATACTAATACAACTGCATACCAAATATCTTTGACTTACCACTAGTGGTTCACCATAAACTAGACCTAATCATAATCTAATACATTGTTGACGCCGCCGACGCCGGAAACAGCATAAATATGTCTCGCTTTTTGACTCCGTCAAAAAAATGACATATAAAGATTGAAAATTTCAGGATGATTATAGCGTGGGGACGATGTGGAAAAAAGTATATGATTCATAAAATTTCTTATAAATGTTGATTGAAAAGTGATATGCGAGTTCGGTTTGTTGTAATATCATATTTATAGTTTATAGTTTGGATTTGCCTATTTTTATTGTCACTTTTTAAAGTGAAAAGTGGAATATAAATCACTTTCTGATTATGTACGGAACCCACATGCACGGCTCAAATAAATTATACTGTTCCTATAAAATTGCCTACTTCTTTTTATGTGCAATATTAGTATTAAAATCAGAGTTAATTTTGCTTAGTAATGGTCTTCAGGTGGCATTACATGTAGCATATGATTTCGTGAAAATATGTTCACTGGTTCCACAATCATACCTACAAAAGTAGTGTTCACAGCCATATTGAAATTTTAGAGTAAAAACGAAGCTCATAAAAGTTCAAAACGATGTGCCTATATTTTCATGAGACCCGGGTAACTTTTGTTATATGAATTAATTATGAACTGAAGTTGTCAACATTGTTTTTATTGCACACTTTTTGTTTTTATCAGGATTAATTTTGATCAGTTAACCTTTGACACGTTGTTTTCTTAGCGGTCAAGTAAAGTAGTCATTTGGACTATATCTGTTTTATTTTCAACACTAATATATTGACTATTTGTTAATAATTTTTCGTAAACAATATATATTTTTTACATTTAAATTAATCAATTTAATGTTTGTTGTTTTTTTTATTTCAAATCCACCAATTTTAACAGTATTCTTTATATGCTGACTTGTTGGCAGAAATCGTTTACATTCATTTACCGAATTCTAATTCACTACGCGACACGATAAGCTGTCAATCAAAACAAAAAATCAATAATCCGCTATCGGGGCAATGAAATCTCAAAAGATCGATCAGTTTCAAGTCCCGTTATATGATAGTCCAATGCAGCTATTTCTTATAGTTGATACTCACCCATCCCAAGAAGCATCATTTATATTTGCAATAATATTGTAACAGGAGAGCATGATTCTACTTGCA